CGGGAAAGGTGGCTCTGGAATCTCTGGAATGCGGAAATCCCTCCAACGTTCCCCTTTCCCTTCCCGCTTTTCCAAAGCTCTCGCCTCCTGGCGTGCTCCTATGGTCAGCGCGGACTTGGTCAGCTGGTCCATAGACTCGGCCCTGGGCGCCCGGGAAAGTTCGTCTTTCACCGCCGAAGAAAGCCCTTCTTCGAAAAGCATTTGTATGGGCTCCGCCGATAGATCCCACCCCAATTTATGGATCAACATGGTAAACTCAGTCCAGTACTCACGGACAGATCGGCTCCCCTGTTTGCAAGCCATTAACTGTCTTCGCACCACTCCCTGCTCAATGTCGCTGGAAAACATCAGGTCCATGGCGCGAAAAAACTTCCGCGTATCCTTTAGGATCTCATTATTCACTGCCATCAGGGGCCTAACCCAGTCTTTCGCCCCCGCTTCGAGATGGCCAATCACAAAAGCCACTCGCGACTCCTCGTCGGGAAAGTCATCAAACTGCAGATTGAGAGTATATTGCATCTCTGTCCTAAAGGCGTGATAGTTCCTGGGATCCCCCCCAAACTTCTGCACCAATCCTGGCACCTTTCTTGCGAGCGGGGTGGTTTTTCCCTTTTCTGCATCCTGAGCCCTCCTCTCCTCGAGCCTTGCCGTCTGCAGCGCTAGCTGGACTTCCAACACCCTGTACCTTTCTTCCAGGCTTGGACCAGCTCCAGCTCCTCCTGCTTCCCGGTTTCGGCTGGGTTGCTCATGATGCCTTTCCCTGCACAAGCTGCTTACAGAGACTTTCGGATTGCTGAAATGGGATGATGAGCTGCTTGTGCGTAAAATCCTAGTCCCTCAGAGTTTGATGAAATCCGCAAACCTCTGCCTACGATGGAGCCCCTCAAGCATGGCTCTGTCAGTCGCTAGCAGAATCCGAAAGTGGGCGCTTTCGGAATCTCTTCCAGCATAAAAGCTCCTTAACGGAAACACGTCTTCTGGACTCTCGGCGTGACAGTTTCCGGCGAGGAGTGGGTGTCCCTATAGGAGGTCTTGAAACCTCCCCACTGTTTTCGCTGGAAGTGTCTCTGAGCCATCCCTCCGACTTACTTTCCCTTGGAGTTCCTTCTCTCCCCCTACTGGTTCCCTCTTCAGCTGCTACGTCTCTCTCAACCTCAGTGAGCCCTTCCACCTCCTGTCCTTCCGATGGCAGTTCCCTGACACATCTGATATCGAAGCCAATACATATTCCCACTGTCTAGGTAATAGTGAACATTCCCATTATTTATTCCAATCATTTCTTAAACTTTACACATCAAACTTATTTGTTGATGATAAATATTTATAAAATGCTTTAGTTTCAAATGCAAATTTGGCCTTTGTACAACAGGCTAGTTTCTACACACATGCATTATCACAGTATCCTCCATCCATGCATGCAAGAGGCATTGAAGGGTGTGCCAGACAGCAGAGCCAGGCCAGAGTCTTGGTGGTGCAGTCCCTCAGAATTCTCTGATTGGCTACCAAGACAGCCAAACAACGGGGGGTGGGGCGTGGAGCCAACACTGGGGGGGGGACTGTTTCTGAGGGAGTTTTTAGATAGGGATAGAGATAGGGCTTGATTGAGATGGATGGTAAGAATTAGGATAAGGTTTGCCTGAGGGAGAACTGGTTCTGATTTGAGCCAAACAACCACACTGAGGAGCCTATCTGTAGCATGAGGAAAGAGCCTCACAGCTTAGATAGGAAGACTGGGTTGAGGGTTTGGGAAATATAGTCAGGAGTTAACTGAAGGACTGAGTCTGAGCCAGAAGCTGTGGGAATCAGACTACCTGGGACTCATTCCAGTCAGGAGGGGAGATTTCTTCTAGGTAAAGAAGACTCCCAAAGCAATAACAAGGGGTGAGGTGATCCCCTGGGTCTGCTATACTAAGTAGAATACCTTAGGTGTGGGATTGTTTTCTTTAAAAAAAAAGTGAAGAAAAGTGCCCCTTTGCTTGTGAACCAAATTAATAAACGGAGTTAAAAGCGTTGATCTGAAGCATCTACCCTAAGCATCTGCATAAGGACCTAGAAAGGAGTAACGGAAACTGAAGTGTAACAACTGATTTTAAGTAAAGGGAGTTTGAGAGAAGCTGTGACTGTCATACTGTGTTTAAGCCTGTGATGTCCCTATATTTAGTTTAAATAATAAGTTCTACCTGAAAGAACGTGTCTCCTGACCTAAAGTTGTTTCACCATCTTCGGAGTTGGGTTTTTTTAAGGGGGAGGGGGTAAATCAAACTTTCCTTGTTTGATTAACTCCCGCCTGAGACTCCCTGAATGGTAGTTTCCCTCACACAAGACCCCCTCCCCCGATAGCCTGTGGTAAATTGCAGTCATTTATTTAATTGGCGTATAGTGAGGTGGGTCTACTTTAGTCCACAACAAAGGGTGCATTGCAATCAGGCAGAAACACTTAATGAGGGTGTGAAGTAAGATCAGCTATGAGTGTCGTGATCTGGCTGTTGATTCCCTGACTATTGATTAGCTGGGATTCCTGCATTTCATAGGGTTGGACTAGGTGACATATGAGGTCTCTACAATTCTCTGATTCTACAATTCTAGGTAGCTTAGGCTGAGAGGTGGTGACTGGCACTCAAGATCACACCCAGTGAGCTTCATTGCCCAGTAGGGATTTGAAACCTGCTCTCCCCAAGGTCCTGTTCTGACACTCTAACCACTAGATCACACTGTGACTTCTCCCAAAGCAAGGGTGGTAGATCTGTGATGAACACATGCAGGCCAACACTTAACGAGCCATGTTCAAAAGCCCAGGTCTGTAGGTTGTTTAAGAGCACAATAAGAGACTTGCAGCTGGATCTGGTTTTAAAAAAATAATGTTTGAGGAAATGCAGAATGGTCCTGAACCTTGGAAAGTGTTTCGGAAATTAAGGAGGGTGTTTTCATGCTTTTCTGCCCTATTTGCTCCATGTCTGAGTTTGCCACTTCCTTGCTTCTGCTATCTTTGAAATGTTTCTGTCTTCTTCCCATTCAGAAGGGTTCACAATCACTGTTTTTAATTGCCACATAGCACAGACTGAGAATCCTTAATGCCAAGCCCTGAACAGCACCACTTTTTTATTGAAAGATCAATATGAAGCAACCAACTTTTGAAGAGCAAATTGCTGTTTAATCCAAGCACAATTTTCCAGGATCAGCATAAGCCTAGACAGGAGAGTACAAATCATAGAATGCAGAGTTGGAAGGGACACAAAGGGCCATTAATGTTAGAGCGGATGCTAACAGTTATTCATGCAGACATTTGTTTGTTTGCTTATTTCATAAAATTTATACACTGCTTCATTGTACAAAATCTCAAATCAGTTTATGAAAAGATGAAACAATAAAACTGAGAAAAATTCATAACCATATTGTTAAACATACAAAAGTTAAAATAATAAAGCAGATTAAGATTACCCTCAGCTGCTGGTGCCAAGGAAGGACAAAAACTTTTTTATGTATGCTACCACAGCGGCGAGAATTCTTCTGGCAAAGTATTGGAAGACGCAGCAGCTACCTACTCTGGAAGAATGGCAAGCGAAGGTGACTGAGTACATGGGTATGGCAGAGATGACAAGCAGAATCCGCGACCAGGGGAGAGAAACGGTGGAAGAAGACTGGAAGAAATTTAAAAAATATCTTAAAGACTGTTGTAAAATTGATGATGGCTGAGATGTCATGGTTATAAGAAATAGAGAATTGCAGCTGTAAATCTTAATTTTAGGAAAAATGTATAATGAATATGACTGAACAAATTGAAACGAAGGGTTGCTGAGAAAAGGTTAATATAAGGATGCAGAAAAAGGGAGGTATGGGGAAGTCCGGGAAAGAAGGTTTATGAAAATAAGTTTAAGAAATTATACATGTTTATTTGTTTGTTTGTCTTGTATGATTTTGTTTTGTTATTTGTTTTATTATATGTTTGGAAAATTAATAAAAATTATTATAAAAAAAAAAGATTACCCTCAACTTTCTAAGCATCTGGGTAGGCTTGTCTGAACAAGCAATAAGTATGAAGTTACTTCCACTGTGGACCTGAACCTCCCAAATAAATACTTGTCCTAAGAACACATAGTGTTATATATTAATGGGCTCACACACCAGAATCTTCTGGAAAGCCACTTGCAGAAACAGGAAACTGGGATGCATGTCCATTGAGATCTGACATATTAATGTGCCTGAGCAAATCTGCATTTCTCATTTCCCAGGATTTCCAGGCCCAAGCAAAGCCAGATTTCTGATGGGTCCTGGCTTTGCCCAATAGCTTGAGAGCAGGCATGTTGAACATCTGGACAGGGGTGACCCATTCCAACAGAAAGTACTTTTAACAATCTGCCTTAAAACTGCATAGGAAAAGGCCCTTAACATTAGTATTGAAGACTCCCTGTTGGGTCACATAAACCACTTAAGTCTGTCTCCACTTACATACATGAAAGGTCTTTGAAAGTTTAACACAAATGGCATTGTACACTAGTTCAGATTTCACACATAAATCCTCAATCTTTCCAACTTCGTTGAAGGGGTTGCTCCCATAATGGCACATTTTTCCCCCCCATTTATGGTGGGATTGCAGAAAGTGTGTGCAGAAATATCACAAATACTTAAATATGCAATTCTGGCATCGCCACAACTTATACTATTTAATATATGGGATGATACTGTAAAATGATTCTCTTTGAAGGAATTGCTAAGTTGGTTTCTAGTAGCAGCTAGACTTTCTGTTGCATAAAATGGAAGAACTGAAAGGATCTATTTCTTGAGTTGTGGCATAAGAATTTACAGAACCTTACAGCTGCTGAAAGGATGACACACAATATACTACATGGAGTTAAGTACCAGTGGAATATTGTCTTAAAATATTTCTCTTTCAGGTTCACACTAATAAACATTTCTGGAATATTATTTAATATCCAGTAGTTCTTATGTGTTTGCCACATTTGCTGATGTTTTCCCCTTTTTCTCCTTTTTTGCTTCCAAAGGTTGGAGTCTGCAAGAGACCATGTTCTTCCCATTGACTATTACTTCCCACCACAGAAGACATGCTTGATCTGTGGGGATGAAGCTTCTGGGTGCCACTATGGAGCACTCACTTGCGGGAGCTGCAAAGTCTTTTTCAAGAGGGCAGCTGAAGGTAATTCATCTTTTTGTGTGTTTGTGATGTGTGTGATTGAATGCAAATCAGACAATGGCTGTAGATGTCTCTGTATATACACACATATATATATCTGTATATACACAGAGATATAGGATGGGGTACCCCTGGCTTGACAACAGGACATGACAAAAGGGATCTAGGGGTCTTAGGAGACCAGAAGAAGAAGAAGAAGAAGAAGAAGAAGAAGAAGAAGAAGAAGAAGAAGAAGAAGAAGAGGAGGAGGAGGAGTAGTTTGGATTTGATATCTACTTTATCACTACCCTAAGGAGTCTCAAAGCGGCTAACATTCTCCTTTCCCTTCCTCCCACACAATAAACACTCTGTGAGGTGAGAGACTTCAGAGAACTTCAGAGAAGTGTGACTAGCCCAAGGTCACCCAGCAGCTGCATGTGAAGGAGTGGGGAAGCGAACCCAGTTCACCAGTTTATGAGTCCTCTGTTCTTAACCACTACACCACACTGGCTCACAAGAACAACATGAGTCAGTGGTGTGATGCAGCAGCAAAAAAAGCTATTGCTATTGTATGCTGCATTAACAGATATCAAGGGGAAATAATAGTTTCACTCTATTCTTCCTTGGCCAGACCCCACTGGGAGTCCTGGGTCCATTTCTCAGTGCCACAGTTTAAGAAGTATCGTATATACTCAAGTATAAGCTGACTTTTTCAGCACATTTTTATGCCGAACCCCCCCCCCCGGCTTATACTCGAGTGAGATGGGCAGTGGCGGCGGAGGGATGAGCGGCCCGAAAGGAGCCCTTTCTCACCGCTGGTCCCGCCACCCGCCTCTTGCAAGGGCAGAAAACAGGAGCTGCGGTTGGGAGAGGCACTGCACTGCACTGTGCCTCTCCCAACCACGGCTCCTATGCCTGCTCTTGCGAGCAGCTTGCGAGCAGCAGAGGTGGCGGCGGAGGGACATGTGGCCTAAAAGGAGCCCTTTTGGGCTGCTCCTTCCTCCTCTTCCATCTTTGCTGCTGTCAGTGGCGGAGGAGAAGGAACGAGCAGCCCAAAAGCAGCCTTTTCGAACTGCTTGTTTTTTCCTCCACTGCTGCCGCCACCACCAGGTTTGTGGTGTGGTGAACCAGCTTATACTCAAGTATATACGGTATATTGGCAAGCCTATGACATGTGCAGAAGAGGAGGGTGAAGAATATGATCAAGGGCCTGGAAACCAAGCCTAAGAGAAATGGTAGAGGGAGTTAGGGATGTTTATCCTGGAGAAGAAAAAGATGGAGAGGTGACATGATAGCCATCTTCAAATATCTGAAGGGCTGTAACATGGGAGAGAGAGCAAGTTTGTTTTCTCCTGCTCTGAAGAGAAGGTCCTGAATCAATGGATTCAAATTCCAAGAAAGGAATTTAAACTAAACATTAAGAAGAACTTTCATAGGGTAGAAGCTGTTTCAGCAGTGAAAAAAGACTCCCTCAGAAGGTGATCTCATTGAGATTTTGAAAACAGAGTCTAGATGGCCACCTGTCAGGGATTCTTGAGCTGTGGTTAATGCATTTCAGGGGTTGCACTAGATTGAGGCCCCTTCCAACTCTACAACAGTGGTGAGATCCCGTTGCTCCTGACCCAGCAGTTTGAAAGCACAGATAAACTAGGTACTGCTGCAGCAGAAAGGTACATGGTGTTTCCGTGTGCTCTGGAACTCATCATAGTGTCCTGTTGCTCCAGAACCGTTTTAGTCATGCTGACCAATGACCCAGAAAGCTGTTGTGTGGACAAATGCCAGCTCCCTCAGCCTGAAAAATGAGATGAGTGTCATACCCATAGTAGCCTTTGACTGGACTTAACCATCCAGGGGTCCTTTACCTTTTTACCTCTATGATTCTGTGATTTCATTGGGTTAAGCAGCCCAGATTACATTTTAATTTCTGTATTAAAAACTCTTTAGCAGACAGTAATCTTAGTAATCTTAGGGACGCGGGTGCGCTGTGGGTTAAAGCCTCAGCGCCCTAGGACTTGCCGATCGAAAGGTCCGGCGGTTCGAATCCCCGCGGCGGGGTGGCGCTCCGTCGTTCGTCCCCAGCGTCTGCCAACCTAGCAGTTCGAAAGCACCTCCGGGTTTGCAAGTAGAATAATAGGGACCGCTTAATGA